TTATTTGTGTGTGTGTGTGTGTGTGTGTGTGTGTGTGTGTGGCCAGCTCAGCCCACCAGGGGGCGGGGCTGGCTGGCATGTGGTGTTGGGGATTGAACCACGGTCCCTGATGCTTTGCTAAGCTTGTTCTAAGTAGGTGCTTTAGACCACTGAGCCATCTCACCAACCCCTGTACCAAATATATTTTTAAATAAAAATATGTTCCATGCAATGTTAAGTTATGAAAAAAATAGAATTGTTATATGGCTGGTATAATTTTTTATCTAAAAGAGGAATCCTAATGGCTTTTTCTGTTTCATTATCAGTTTGAGCAAAGGATTTCTTGATTTTTTTTTTTTTTGATTTGTGTTTTCATAGAAGTAGAAATAAACTTCAGTATGTTAATAGCTCAGAGACGTTTATTTGTATTAGGTGATCTGTATTAACACAACTTGTTCTATGTCATACACTGTTTTCTGGTCCATCTTCCTGTGACTCAATATATTTCCTATTTGGTTTATACAGTAGCAACCAGGGACCTGCCCATTAGCTCAGTTGTTTAAGTGCCTGCTTAAACAAAGCAGTCAGGCTCAGGATGCTGTGGTTCGATCCCCAGAACTCACGCCACCAGACCTGCCCTGAAGGCATTCTGAGACTGCCAAAATCCTTATACAGTAGCAACCTGAAACTCCTGAAATAGCCCATTAGATAAAATAGTTGGTACTATGTGTGTGTACTTCAAAATTTAAAACATATGAAAAAAATGAAGCATTTGATGTCCTTGTAGTATAGTGAGATACTTTGTTCTTCTCTGACCATTAGATAGAAATAAGGTAAATAAAGTAGAAGTGGAAAAAGGCACTTTAAATTCCAGTAGAATACTTTATTGCTCAAAACTCCCCTTAAAACTTTGCCATTTATAAACAGTTTTATACAATTTGTTTAGATTTATTTATGCTCCTTTTCTACTGATACTCATAGCCTAGAGAGAAATATTGGTCCTGGTGTAACAAAGGACCTCTAAGTGATAGAAATAGTCTGCTTTCTTCATTTTATTTTTATTTTTGTTATTAATATTGTAGTTTTTGTGAGATAAGGTCTCACTATATAATTCAGGCTGCCTCTGAACTCACTGTGTAACCCAGACTATCCAAAAAATGTGGCAGTTCTCCTGCCTCAGCCACCTAATTGCTGGGATTACAGCTGTGTACTGCCGAGCCTGCTTTCTTCATTTTAATATGGAAGATCTATCTTCCAAATGTAAAATAGAATTAAAATGGAGAGCTTGGTTGACACACAGAATGTAGTTAATGTGTTTTTATTTTTTT